ATTTTTTATTTTCACTGTTACTCTCTCTCTCTCTCTCTTTATATATATATATATATATATATATATATATATATATATATATATATATATAAGAGAGAGGAAAAATGATGAGAGAAAAATGATTTTAATGTTACTCATACTCCTAAAATTTAGGAATTTTTAATTTTTAGTTTTATTTCACTTCTAAAGGGGAAGGATAGTATGCTAAAATTGACAAAAAAAAACACTTCATAACAAATAAGTTTTCTTGACGGACTTAAGCCCAAACAAGTCCATATAGGGGGATTGGCCTCCAAATTTTCCAAATAGGTTTTAGGCTCCAAATTTTTAGAAGACCCCATAATTTTAGGTACATTACTAATCCACAAAAAAAATTAAATTTATTAAATTTTAAGCCCTAAAACAAAGTCCCGAAAAATTAAATCTAATCAAAAATTTTATTGCAATAATTTGAGCCTATAATACAATCCATAACATTAAAAACTTAAAAATTAAAAAAATTAAAAAAAATACTCAAAAGTCAACTTATATTTTTGCCCGCCTACTTTCCCTCTCTCCTTCTTCGGTAAAAGAAAACAAAAGTTGAAATCTCTTTCTTGACAATATTAACACATCTTTTTTTTTGTCTCCCTGGCACATGGAAAATTAAAAAAAAAATTAATTTTTTTTAAAAAATAATACTTAAAATAAAAAATTATATATTTAATATTTCTATTTTAGGCCTCAAATTGGCTTGAGTCGTTCCTGGAAGAGATTATAAGTCCAGAATTCACCTTATCGGTACCATGACAGTTCAACAACCGAAAATATTGGATGAGTTTGCAAATAAGTAATGCTTTGGACTCTTAATTTGGTCCAAAAATTTAGTCAGCATAACATTACATTTTGTCAATACAATGACATTCCTTTTTTTTTTTGGTAAATGACCTTTTAACAGATGGTGGGCTTTGTCGTCATCTTTGTTTTAGAATAAGGCACAAGGTTCCTTACCATAGCAGGGTCAGAAAGAGACAAATGGTAAGAAGTTTTACCCTATTTTGGATAGTTATTTCAAGGGAGGAATTGAAAGCTATTCATGCCATCCTTTTGCCGGTGAATGAGGGTAAGGATAAGAGAATTCGATGGCCCAATAGTAAAGGTGATTACACTGTAAGGTCTGGATATAAGTTGGGAAGTAAGCTTGTCACAAGTCCGCCGGAGGTCAGTTCTTCTGCCTCCTTTCATCCCAAGTTGTGGCAGTTCATTTGGAATATGAAGGCAGTACCAAAGGCCAGGCATTTGTGGTGAAAAGTTTATCAAAATATCCTTGCCTCACTGGAAAATCTATTTAAAAGTTATGTTTCAACGTCTTTCTGCCAGATTTGTAAGTTGGCTCCATAATCAATTGAACATATTCTGTTTGAATGTGAATGGACCAAGAAAGTCTGGTTTGGTATGAACCTCAATATACAGGGGGAAGATTCATCATTTGTGCCGGTGGCCCAAAGAACTTTTGCATTCCTACAACTGGTGAAGGAGGCTCAAAGCAAACTCGATATTATGGAAAAAAATGACTACTGTGGGTTGGGTAATTTGGAAAGCAAGAAACCAATTCATTTTTAATATGGAAGAAGTTAATGCCTGTGCCGCAGTCTTACGTGCACAAGCCATGTGAAGGGATCAACTTAGAACTGGTGATGGGGGATCAACTAAGAGATAGTAGGAATCAAAGGCGAGGGAGGCAAGACCACAAGAGACTGAGGATGGGATCCGCATCTTCTACGATGGAACTTTCAATCCAAGATCAGCAAAGGCAGCTTGTGGATTGGTGATATGCAAGGATAGGGGAGAATTTGATTTTGACAATGCTAAATCTTTCCCAGCGTTTTCTGTTTTGCTCTGTAAGGTTGAGGCAGTGTGGCAAGCATGCCTCCTTGCCGAAGCACAATTGATCACACATGCAACTATTTTGAATGATTGTCTCAATGTTATTAAGCTTAGCTCCAACGAAGATGTTTACCCGTTGAAAATTAGTGTAATCATCGAGTACATTAAACATTATGCTAGGTTATACAACCCTAATTTTTTACATAAGCCTAGAGCCTTTAACAAGATTGTTCTTTGGATAGCGGCCAAAATATTAAACAATTCATTTCCGGTGAACTGGTTAAAATCCTCCCCCCGAGAGAGCTTACGGCTTTTCTTTTGATTGATTGTAACCTCAATTTTTTCACTTAATGAAATGATTACCCAATTTGCTTTGTTCAAAAAACTCCCACTAAAAGGTAAGAACCATATAATCAAATAATTGTTACTCTCAAAAACAAAAATCTCTAGTTAGTAGTTACATCCATTTAAATATAAATACGACCCCCAGCCTACTAATGATGTGGATGGAGTAACATAAGGAATTTAGATTCCGGAGGCTAGGATGGGTCTAGGCATCCGATTACATTTCTTTTTTTTTTGTTTTCTTTTGCCCGATTGTTAGATATCTGCATTAGTAGAATCTTACACATCGGTTTCCTAGTGATCTCACCTTCTGTTATTATACTAATGCAATGGGGCATTCATGTGCATGTTTGACCTTTCTGTTGTGTTATTTTTGCCCATCTGTTTCTGCACATGTATGTATAAAGGGGGCAATGTAAAGACAACATGACTTTACCATTCAACAATTAATTAAAATAAAACCCACAAACTTCAAGAATCACACTCTTTCATGTAATCCCTGCAGCCAATACTACTAAATGGTTATACCACATAGCAATATTTACATGATATGATATCATTTAACATTGATTATGAACTCGTTCCTATGAGAGTGATGTTACACTTTTGATATACAGATTAGTACCTTAACACCTGTTTATTAACGAAATCAGGTGTTAAATGCAGAAATCACATTATGGACATCATCAATAAACCCCATTAGTTCAAAAACACACACCATGGCACCCAAATTATTTAGAAATTCGCAATCTCTGTGCCAGAAACATATGCCATAGCCTACAGTAGAGCGACTGCAAAAGTAAAACTCAACAAGAACATCAAGAACAGAGTGTTGTACCTTGCACACTGGATGTGCTGATGTTCAAATATGCTTTTCATACTATAAAACAAAATCGAATTCTTTGGATTAATCTAAACTAATATATCAATTTATTGAGTCAAAACACAACAAGGGGAAGAGTTTTCCACAAAATGCGGCCACATGTAGTAGACTAAATAAAGCTTCCTCCAGAAGAGGGGTCCTATTTGGTCCCTTCGTCCACAGAAACCATCCCAAATTTGTAAATCATGTCAAGTGCACTTTCTTCCGACGCCCAGCATGAACAAGTCAAAACAGAATTCTGGGAAACACAGGCTACCCCTGATATCATATATCCGACACATCATCAATATCTTTCAGATTATATACACTGAACCTTATAAGAGATAAAAAGGAAACATACCTGTTCAACATAGAAGACCAACCATCCAACGTTCTACTCACATTTGATTGAGCGGTATATGTGACGGACAAAGAACAAAGCAGCACGGAAACCAACAGTTCCAAGCATAAGAAAAAAGCCATAGCAGATGCAAGCCATGTACCCAAAGAAAAACGAGGTTTGCATAAATCCTGACATCTCTGATCGTGCGTAGTAGTAATACAAGCAGTACCCATAGATGAACAAACCAGTGGATCCACCACAAAGGAAAGACCTGATAGTAACAACAAAACATGTATAAGTAGATGGTTGGACCAATCATATGAAACCTCTAAAAAAGAAAGTTTTCCCAGATTGAGACATCAAGTAATGTTCCTTAACAATCTTTGCATTATTCTGGATACCAAATCCCAAGTAGTCCATAGAATCCTAGTGCAATTGCAAATCATAATAGAAAAGCTTGCGGTGATCGGCCTGGTCCAACAGAATTAATGCCAACATAAACCCAAAGTGATGTAAAATCTAAAGAATATAGCCTATCAAGAAATTATGTATTCAAGCTTGCGCCGCCATTCCAGCCCTCTAAGAATCCTGCATCAATCCATTGCAGAGCTCCTAAATAATGATCCCAACAAATGCAATCTATCATGTGGTCTGACTAGAAAGAATGAGATTAGCGCATGTCGTGTCCCTTAATGCAATTAATATGTTCGGGATGGGGGCATTTATGATCCGATAAAGCATCAAAACTTACGAACTTTAACATACCACTATAGCAGTTCTGCAGGTACTTCAAACTTTCATTGAATTCGTTGTATTAAATAAGTAATGTCCTTTCTTATTGACTCGAGCATTGACTATTTGATGCAACTTGTTATCATTTTGGTTTGAACCTTTAGTCAATGGCAATCCAAGACAGACATATCTAAATCTGTTTTTGGAAAAAAGGCTCAGTAGGAATTACTTGGAGCAACTTCAAAGTTATCAGTTCAAGGGATGAAAAACAGATGACAGAATACAAAGGGAAAACAAATGGCATTGAAAGTGACTCTGACTGAAATTTCTAACAGTGTATACTAACATTCGTAAGTGAAAACCTATGAAGCACGAACACTCTCATAAAGGTGATGTATCCATGTCGGACACCGATACTCCTCGGACACATGTTCGATATTCTTTTATTCATATCTATAATTAAATTGATAAATTTTAATTTTGAACGCATGTTAGTCAGACACTTCTTTAGAGACATGTCCTACACTTCTTTAGATCGTGTCTACTATTAGACGATAAAAATGTGTTTGACATGCAACTACCAAAGCTTAAAAATTTGACTAAGTATCTTATAATATGAGAGCGACTAAACATGTTAAAATTGTAGTCAAAAATAAAAATATAATATCAAAGCAACAGATGTTTAAAAGTTTTAAACAAGAAGAATTGAGAAAATCAGAGCAATCATTTAACCTATATATCTTGGGCAAGGATCGAAATTTCGTTTCGAAGTACCGTTTCGGTCAGCTAAAAAATGGAAACATTTCGGAAACGCAGAAAAAATATGAAAACACATAAAAATACAAATACAATCCATTAATTTATAAAGATAAGCTAAATAATTGATTAATTCAACATATTTATTGGGTTAACATCCATTTATACAAGAATAAATTTAAATTTGAGGGAAAAAAAAAGCTTGACATGAAGCGAAAATCACTTAAATTAGTTTCAAACACTTAATTTTTATGAAATAAACACATTTTTACATAATATTAAGGTCTTATAATACACATGAAACATAGCCACATCCATCCCCCTGTGGAGTGTTGAGCAGACTCATACATCGGTGTAGGCTCTGGGTAGCTACTTAGAGAAACTCCATATATGACATAAATATGATGACAATAGTTACTACAACTCATATTATTACGGTAATATTATCCAATTAATAATACTATTTTATTATAATACTAATAATGAAGGGTATCAAATTAAATTAATGGTACTTATGTATACTTAAAAATTAAATATAATTGCAGTGGGTATTAAATGTAATTACAATGAGTATTAAATATAATTACATGTAGGGTATTAAATGTAATTGTTAATACTTATAACCAAAAAAAAACAAAATACTTGCACAACAGTGGGGTATTAAATATAATTACAATGGATATTAAATATAATTACAGTAGGGTATTAAGTTTAATTATTTATTCTTATAACAAAAAAATTATAAAAGGCAGAAGAGCAGTGGGAATTAAATATAATTATAGTGGGGTATTAAATATAATTATAGTGGGTATTAAATGTAATTACAGTGGATATTAAATGTAATTATAGTGGGGTATTAAATATAATTATTCATAGTGAACCGAATATATCACTATTTCGTCGAAACGGTCCGAAATAGTACCGTTTCGACCGAAACACTGGAATTTTGTGATTCAACTACTGTTTCGTTTTAGAGTGTTGAAATTCCGAAACGTTTCGGACGTATCGACATGACATTTTGATCCTTGATCTTGGGTACACGTTGTCTACAAAAAAATTATGATTCTTTGACTATCATGATACTTTAGTCTAAATTCACAATAGATGACTAGACATAATATTTAATTATCATAAAATATTAAATTTTTAGTAATTAATTTATGAATAGTATTATCTTTATCCCTATATTTGCGACAAATTATATTATTTTATATATAATACAATTATCTGTAGCGTGTCTCCAACATGTTCTTGTTCTACTTTTTTGAAAAATATTGTGTTTGCCTGTCTGAGTTGTGTCGGATCCATATCTTGTGTCCGTAATGCTTCTTAGGTCAAAACTACCTATAATTACATTTATCATCAAATTAAAAGAAACGCTACCCTAATTACACATACGATCAAATTAAAAGAAACTTCACCCTATTACTCAGCAATCTCACATGAAATGAGTGCAGTCAACATCTGTTAAAGGAATGAGAGATCTGTTAAAGTAAGGATGGTACGTACCTCCACCACCATTCATGGTCTTCAGCAGCGAGTTGAAAATATGTCAATGCCACCGTGATAAAAGCAGTAACAATTAGAAGAATAATGAAGACTATAAACAGTATACTGTAAATGGTGTAAATCCTGTGACCCCAGACACTAGCAAATATATAGTAAAGTTCAATATAGATGGCGCTGAAAGGCAGAAATCCAGCCATTGCCATCTGAGGAAGACTTCCACGATACCAAGGCAATGGCGGGATCTCCCTGGGATATTTTGTGGTCCGACAAGGAGCTTGAAACTCAGCTTTGCTATTCTTTCCAGCAATCCCTCCAAATACTAGCAATGGTGATGTCACCAGAGTCCATATGAGAATTATCACCACAATTGTACCAAATGGCAGTGCTGCAGTGGCACCATAAGTAATTGCAACAGTATTAAGGAAGCAGAATGTCAGAAACAGAGGTCCGCAGAACAGGCATCCTGTCAATAATAAGTTCCTCACCTGGCAGTGAGAGATCAAAAATTAGTCTTTTTACTTAAGATTGTCCTCTTTTTGCTACAAGGGAGCAAAAGAAAAAGGAATTACTCCAATGCCCTTTAGAGTCCAGTATCTTGTCACAATTATTCTGATTCCATACTGTTACTACTGAAGTCATGCATCAGTGAAAATAATAGAATATGTCCACCCTATTTCTGAAAAAAGCAACTTCTCACAAGTAGTAAGAAAGAATGGAGGAAACTTTCCCTTTAAAGTGTGACACACACACACAGAACTACTGATTTTGTCTTAAACTATTTACATAATATCCGAAAGCCATAAATCATAGGATATGACTCCAGACACAAGAATAGAAAAGTTTTCTCAAATCAATGGTTGGATTTTCTAATCGAGGTTTAAAAAAGAACTTTACAAGCATTCCTTCAATTACTGGGCTTCAGAAAACTAAAAAATGTAATCCACAATTACAGCCAATTTGTCATCCAATCACTCTATTTCTCGGAAATCAAAATGGGGAAAGAGCAAGTGACATGATAATATTCAACACCAACGGCCAGATTTGCCGAAGTTAACAAAAAATCTTATCACTTTTTCTCTTACATGTCCACGGAGCTCTTCTGAAGGGACAGAATCATGAAACAAGGTGTAACCATAATAAGATCCTTGCAATCTGAAGTAGGAATTCGCATTGAGCTTACTAAAAAGTAGACAACAAAAACAAAACTTGCAACCACGTACCCAATTTGTTCCTTCAAGCTGGTGATAAAAAGAGGCTGAACTGTAGCCTGCAATCCCAGATGTAAGCACGTATATGACAAACAGTGCAGAAAAAAGAGCTCCCCGGTTGTATGGATAAAATGCGCCGACAAGTGCAAGTATAAAGATAAAAATTGTGCTGAGAGGGGAAAAAGGTATTAAATTAGGACACCGCATTCCTCAACAGATTATTAAAAGCAATTGTTGAGTTAACTAAACCCGAAAGAACAAAACAGCTCCAAATATATACTTACAGGGCAAAAAGTTGGGTGCCACATCCAAGGGCTGCAGCAAACAAAGAATTGCACTTCGGGTACCTGAAAACATCGCCATGGATGTACTTCCACCCAGTTTCCTCTTGGTCATCAGCAGTCTCTTCATCATGGGCATATCTTATGTGAATAAAAAAAGGAAATAAATCAAAAATTTAAAAAGGAAGTTTGAAAATAAGTGTTAATTGCAGTAGACAGAAAATGTTCTTACTTAACAAAATCATTTTTAAGGACGCGCATTAGAATTGTGGCAAGAAAGCCAGTCAATAGTAGAACAGTCACACATGAGTTGATAATTGAGAACCAGTGGATCTCCAAGTGGTGTGGCAGTGAAGAAGACTGCAAGTACTTGTCCATCCTATTCTCAAAAGGAATGTTTGTGTCCCTCCATTTCACAGAGTACATTAATTCCACATCAACTTCCTTATCTTCCGTAAGGTCCACAAGCGCATTAGGGTCAGTTCGTGCATTAATCTCAATGACACGATCCTTATTGTACAGGATCTCAACATGAAGATGCTTAAAGAGGTAATATTTGTACTCGCTGGGGTCAACTTTGCCTTCCTTGTCAACCTTCCCCAAGAAACCCCAGATGGGCAAGTCATCATAGTACATTTCAAAGTAGTAGTTCTTCTGGACAGCAGTTCGGAATTGAGCAACTTGTTCCTTTGTCAACTTCATCTTGCAAACAGATTCAGAGTCTTTATCAACTAGAAAGTCTAGTTTGTAGGGGGCACTAACCAAACGATCCCCATTCAGCACTTCACCAAGAGCTTCCTTTTTGTCTTTCACATCACCTGCAAATGACATCCCATCAATCAAGTGTCCCTCCACAAGAGAAAAACTTAAAGGGAAGGAAACCAAGAATGAACATATACAAACCTGAAGAACAGAATGGGAGATCAAAGTAGCGATACGTTTCACTGGAATTGGAAGCAGAAATAACAAAATGAGTACCCAGAAGTTGAAAAATGAAAATGAGTACATGCATAAAATTTAACGCAGGATTACATCAGTTGCAGAAACTTTGCTAAAATAATTGAATGTTCCAATGTATGCAGAAATTGCTCCCTCTCAATGTTGTCTATCCCTATGTCATTAAGTCTTGCACTAGGAGTTGGATTCCTTACATTCACAGAATTTTCCCTCATAAATCCCTTCTCAAATAATGAGTCTAAAGCATAGTTCAAGGTTGCAACATTGGTCATTGACTTGAAAAGAACTTAGATTCATCGATCACAAGTTCGCAACATCACAGAACGGTATTGAGCAATATCCACAACAAATTACATAAAAAAAGATTAACATCACAAGAGATGCAGGTTGTATAGCACTGTCACGAAACAGTATTGGCCAAATTGGTGATGATAGATGTCTCGAACAACTTGGTTGAGTCGCTTGAGAATCGTGTTTTATACGAGTTGTGTTATGGTATTGAATTGGAATATGTTTTGTTAGATACAACTCAGCTGAATTGTATCAGCCGGAACTTATAACCATGGTTTGAAGGTCATCATTCTTCAAAAAGGTGCTCACAGAAATGGTAACAACAAATGGAGCATCTAAAGAGAGAGCCATATTCATGTCTAACACCATCACGAATGCGACATATGTTCAACAATCCTACAAGCATGTCTGATCGCAAGCTGTATGTATTTTCTGTTAACATCACTGATAGTGTGCTTGTATCATGTTTATTTCTCTTGTTCAAGCCACATCAGTAAGAACCATAGCTTAACAGACACTAAAGCTCTCGTTTTTCCACAAGTGAGCACTCATTTTTCTTTTTCAAAAAGTTATTCATGTCTTTTATTCAACTTGGAAATAAATGCTTCCAAGATTATGACAATGATGCCCAAATATGAGAAACTGTAATGTCCATGGCTTGCATGTGCTTCTAGTATGATAGGCCCGCAATCAAATCCCCCAAACTTTTTCCAAATAAACCTGTTGAAAACTTGAAGTTTTACCTTATTTAGAACTTAGTATCCCAGGCTCAAGTCAATATAGAATGATTTTGAATCAGCTATTGCATGTAATATTATCATCGCAACGATTATTTAAGTCTAATGACACACTTTGGACAAACCACATGAACTAGAAGATATAAGAAACAAAAATGGATTGTGCAAATGCCTATCCACATTCCAAAATGGATGGACCAAATACAAATAGATAAAAGGGGTGAATCTATCAAAGGGTTGGTGCCTGACCACATGTACACATATGTTGGGATGATTAGAATTTAGAACCCATATATAGTTTTGTTTTGTAGTGCTGGTCTAGGTTCATGGAGCTTAAACGGATCTCAAAGCTCCTTAAGTGACCATTCAAGTGGCACAGGATACCAGTAACATGAGCTGTTAATCTCAGATGCTCATTTTTTAACATGGGCTCTTAATTTTAGACGCACATTTTTTCTCACAGGTCAAGTACTCCCATACGCTTTTACTCTGCATTCACTTAGAGCTAACACCAGTTGACCAAAATCAGTAATAAAGTCATATCCTCTGTCTTCACTCTTAAGCTTAACCAAGATAGTAAATCTGTAAGTAAATGTGACCATCGCCATTAAGAAGATTGTCAATGATTTTTAAAGCAAGTACACTCCAACCAATTTGAGTATAAATATAATTCAAATTGGTGAAAAATTTTCCCCAGAAAATAAAAAAGGGTTCACTGGTGGTGACAAAATACAATTGAGACAGCTATCAAATGGGACCTATCATCTTTTGGGTATTAATCATCATATATTTAGTAACTCCTTTCGCGTCATGCAAAAAGTTCCACTGCTGTGTGGGTATATGGATCCAATGCACACACACGAATAATTAAGTGTTTGATACCACGATCCTACTTGAGAAGGCCATAAATCAGTATTCTCGAATGTGTTTGGGAGCATGGAATCGAAATTGAAGGAAATCCAGTTCAAAATTTGAATTGTCTTTTCACCAATTACTCTTCCAAGGCTCGAATTCCAGAGTCCCAAACGCAGCACAATGAGATCCACAAAGAACGAATCAATCACCAAAATCTCGACAGAAATTAGTCACAACACTAGCTATACACATTAAACACTAGAATTTAAAAAAAAAAAACCCTTGGAGAAAAATGAGCAATAGATCAGTGACGAAGAGAGAGAGATCTGTTACCTAGGGTTGTGGAAAGGTCCGACCTTATTAGCATAGAGAGGGACCTGATCTCCAGCTTTGTACCTGTGATTCGATGAATCGGATCTCACATCTATCGCACTGCAAAGTACAACCAACACTACGACGTACCACCCCTTCATCTTCTCCGTCCCACACACACACACACAAACACAAACACAAACACAAACACACACACTCAGAGAGAGAGAGAGAGAGAGAGAGAGAGAGAGAGAGGGGGGGAGAAGCAGATCTCGATATATCTCTGGCGATGAGGCAGGGAGGGAGGGAGGGAGGGAGGGCAGTGCAAGGTCTATAACCAGTAGTTGTAACGTATTAGAGAAATGATTTTGTTCCCCCCAACCGCTTTTGTAGGGAGTGGAGAACAATCGAGGTGACCGCTGAACGAGAAGAGGGATTCAGATTAGAAGGGAGAATTGCATGTTGCACCCCCATAAAATTTAAGAATTCCTACTTTATACCTTTAAAGATTATATTTTTCATATTTTACCATTTATGTATTAAAAGTATTAAAATATGACATTTTTTTAGCTTCTATTGTTCATTTTGTAAAGGGTGATTTTTTATGAAATAGGTACCGAAAGTTAACAAAATGATCATATCATAATATTTGTAATATTTTGAGAGTATAACATAAGATATTTAATTTTTAAAGACACAAAGTATAACCTTATTTATTTATTTATTTTATTGTTTTGGTGCTCTGAAAATGACTTGTTACCTGTGTTTGTCCCAATATGTTCTTGTCTTCCAAAATTGGTCCTTTCTATTCTCATTAATATCACAATTTTTAATGGTGATGTCGAATTTTCTATTTTTTTCATTTTTTAATCGATTGTTCATCTGTTTATCACTTCTATTGTGCAGACTTTTACAGAGTTGTTTCAACAAATTTAGGATTTTTTTTTCCCTACGAATTGGTATAAAAAATAATTATAGTCTTCTAATTATTATTTTTTTTTCTCGGTCGGACACTATTACAGGGGAGGAGAACGATAAGGTTCGACTCCCCAACTTTAATGTCTAACAGTGGGTATGATGGTCATTTGGACAATTGCTAACCTCGTCTTTTTATTATTTCACAAATCCAATGTTTGTGTTGACTACTTAAATTGGTAAATTCCGGGTTTGTAGCTTAATTTTGAAAGTGTACCAAGTTAAATTCACATATTTTCAGAAGGTTACAATTTGGTTTGAAGATTTTTTTTTTTTTCATGGGATATGCTCCTTTCCTTCAAAGATTTTTATTAATTGTTACTTGTTTCATTTTAATTTCGAAAATTATTTTTCAGAAAAAGAATTGCCGAAGGCATTGTCAACTGTCTATTTCCCACTTCAATGCACTGATGAGAAATTTTAATGTCTGGAATTAATTTTCTTTCTACGGATTTTTTTTTTAATAATTTTTTAGCAAATAAAATAATTTTAAGCTTATTCATCAAACTACCACGTTTTTTCGTGCTAAAATGTGTTTCAAAAATATACTTTTGTAAAAATAATTGCAATTTCCTAAATAAATTTACATTTATGATATTTCGGTAAAAAATAATTTAAAAAAAAACTCGATGTAGCTGGTTTTGGTGTTCAAAATATTTTAAGTTCGACTTTTTATTGGTTACTCTCGAGTTTAAATGATACTATGATTAATAAGTAATTGCAAGTATTCAAAGTTTACTTTATAAAAGTAAGTCTAATATAATCCAGACTTGAAAATATTTCAAGTCATTAAAAAAGTGAGAATAAAGCTATCAATAATTTGTATCGTGTCATATTTATCTCATGTTGCTTTGGTCATGTTTGTGTTACTTGCAAAATAGTACGATGGGTAAGACTTAAATCACATAGAGCGGAAACGAGAGTGTAAAAATGGTAAAATCTAAAAAATTTTGAGAGCGTGATATTATATGTATTTAGACAAACAATCATCCTTAAAAATTAATAAAAATAAAAGATAAAAAATAAATTTCATGCATAACTATGTGATAAACCTTTTAGTTTTTTAAATATATATTGATTATAAGGTCCTCAATATAGTAATAATAACTTATAAATATTATTCTAATTTAATATGTATCTTCATGCATGAGTCAGTACTTTACAAAAAAAAAATTAAATAATAATGAGTAAGCATATAATTAAGAACGGGAATTAAACATTAAAAATTTAATTTCGAGAATTTGATAAAATAAGAATGTAAATTTTACGAAGAATCCGTGAATTAAAGCGCAAAGCGCCGATGTGTCAACCTCTTTTGAAGAATTATGTGACTAACGTAAGACTGTCTATTTTACACCGATAATACCAACGTTTAGTAATTTTTATGTTTAGTGTTTTTTCGAACATTAATTGTCAACACTATAGATAAATGAGCTNATTTTTTTTTTTTTCATGGGATATGCTCCTTTCCTTCAAAGATTTTTATTAATTGTTACTTGTTTCATTTTAATTTCGAAAATTATTTTTCAGAAAAAGAATTGCCGAAGGCATTGTCAACTGTCTATTTCCCACTTCAATGCACTGATGAGAAATTTTAATGTCTGGAATTAATTTTCTTTCTACGGATTTTTTTTTTAATAATTTTTTAGCAAATAAAATAATTTTAAGCTTATTCATCAAACTACCACGTTTTTTCGTGCTAAAATGTGTTTCAAAAATATACTTTTGTAAAAATAATTGCAATTTCCTAAATAAATTTACATTTATGATATTTCGGTAAAAAATAATTTAAAAAAAAACTCGATGTAGCTGGTTTTGGTGTTCAAAATATTTTAAGTTCGACTTTTTATTGGTTACTCTCGAGTTTAAATGATACTATGATTAATAAGTAATTGCAAGTATTCAAAGTTTACTTTATAAAAGTAAGTCTAATATAATCCAGACTTGAAAATATTTCAAGTCATTAAAAAAGTGAGAATAAAGCTATCAATAATTTGTATCGTGTCATATTTATCTCATGTTGCTTTGGTCATGTTTGTGTTACTTGCAAAATAGTACGATGGGTAAGACTTAAATCACATAGAGCGGAAACGAGAGTGTAAAAATGGTAAAATCTAAAAAATTTTGAGAGCGTGATATTATATGTATTTAGACAAACAATCATCCTTAAAAATTAATAAAAATAAAAGATAAAAAATAAATTTCATGCATAACTATGTGATAAACCTTTTAGTTTTTTAAATATATATTGATTATAAGGTCCTCAATATAGTAATAATAACTTATAAATATTATTCTAATTTAATATGTATCTTCATGCATGAGTCAGTACTTTACAAAAAAAAAATTAAATAATAATGAGTAAGCATATAATTAAGAACGGGAATTAAACATTAAAAATTTAATTTCGAGAATTTGATAAAATAAGAATGTAAATTTTACGAAGAATCCGTGAATTAAAGCGCAAAGCGCCGATGTGTCAACCTCTTTTGAAGAATTATGTGACTAACGTAAGACTGTCTATTTTACACCGATAATACCAACGTTTAGTAATTTTTATGTTTAGTGTTTTTTCGAACATTAATTGTCAACACTATAGATAAATGAGCTTAAATTATGAACTAAAAAATTTAGATAGTCCTAAAATGGTTTAAAATGGATTCCAAAATATATTAATATTGATTTTAGAGTTAATAGCACTTTTTGTCTTTAAATGATATATTTCTTATTAGTTTAGTCCACATTCAATTACTTTATTTAGTTATTAAAATATTCAATCCGTATCACTTTTGTCCTACATAGACGAACTGTTAAATTTTTAAAAAAATAATCACATGTTGGACATGTTATATCATTTAAAAAATTGACACGTGTTCACTATAGTCAAAACAAGTTGATAGTCCGTCTATGTAAAAACTAAAATGATACGAATTAAATATTTTATGAGACAAAATTGATAAAATTAATACAATAAAAATTTAATTAATAAAAAAAATATATTTTAAGAATTAAAAATACCATTAACCTTGATTATAATTAGAGTTATGCTATTTAGATATAAAAATCTGATATAATTTGTTGACCTAATGATGTGATTTCATTGAAATTATTGGATTAACACCAAATTCCAATATTTGATGAAATTTATAGCCAATCCAAGGTCATAATGAATTAGTCAACAAATTATGTTACTAAATTAAATCTCGATCAACACTATATAATCCAAATTTGTAACTCAAATTTACATTCTAAATGAATAGAATCATTAGATCAATAAATCATATTTAAAAAAATTGATATGATCTATTCATTCAATGAATCCATTCCTTTAAAATACAAATTTGAATTACATAATATTTCCCCTAAATCTCAGTAGCATTGCTGTTATAAAGAACCTCTTTCAGAAGTCCAACTGTTTTAATTGACCCAATTAATGTGGTCTGAGATCCCCAGGCCATTTTAAATTAATTTTTTTTGTTTCCGCTTCTTCCATAACTCTGTACGGTGATTTGCCCACGTGCTTCGAATTCAATAGTAATAAGAAAACTTTAAAGTCCACCCTTTTATGGCTTTTTTTATTATTTTGGGAGAATTACGTTCAAATTTTTTAAAATTTATTGCTTAATTACATAGACTTTCTGACATTTAAAATATTATACACAAATATATCCTTTAATAAATTATATTCAAACCCTCTAAAATTTGTAAACATATATTACTTAAACTTCTTAAGTTTAAAATATTATAGATAAACTAAAAATACTTTAATTAAAGATAAAATATCAAAATATTTTAAATTTTATAATCAAAATTCATGTTATATTGTATCATTTATTGAAATAAAATCAAAAATAAAAATTAAATTTTTCTTAAAAAATCATAATTAGTATACAATTATATTGTTTATTGGAATTTAATTTGGTCGTTTAAATGACCAAATTAAAATATCAAACTACCACAATTAAAGTTAAAAAATATTGGGTGCATTATAGTTTGACCTCTTATTTAATTTTTTTTATTTTTATTCTAATAGATAGTATAATTATATACTAACTGTGATTTTTTTTTTAAAAATTAGATTTTTATTTTTGATTTTATTTTAGTAAGTGACATAATAGAACATAAATTTTAGATGTAAAATTCATGTTCTATTATGATGACTTAAACCCCTTGTTTGATTTTTTAGTTTTATTCCAATAGATAGTATAATTGTATACTAATTACGATTTTTAAGAAAAAATTAAATTTTTATTTTTAATTTTATTTCAATAAATGATACAATAGAACATGAATTTTTGTTGTAAAATTTAAAATATTTTATATTTTATCTTTGATCCGAGTATTTTTTATTTAAGTATAATATTTTAAATTTAAGGGGTCTAA